TTGTTAATAATCTGTTGTTAATAATCTGTTATTAATAATCTGTAAATGCTGTAGCGATATGGTGCTGGATATAGTTAATTATCAGTTATGAGTTAAGCTCATAAGATATGCATGTATTATGCAAATAACCTCGTTGTTTGGGCACCACCTCTCTTAGAGAGGAAAAATCATTCTTGCTATTTACCCCAAATTAATGTAAACTGAACATGTTCTTTTCTCGTGTTTAAAGAATATCTAATCAATTAATACACACAGATATGCCAAAAATAATCACAAATTCAGTTGATTTTATGTATTTTATTATAAAAATAATCTGTGATATATATGAAAATTATGCATAACAAAAGTTAACTGAATAACAAATAGCTTTGAATCAAAGGTCTAATTGATTATTCAAATCTGTGAAACTTAACAGGCAGACTTTGGACTGGTTTCTGTTTGTGAAGTGGTTAAAATTGTGTCTAAGGTGAGCTAAGTTTGTCTGATAAGTTGTGATGTAGGGTCACCAGAAAGGCGTTGAAAAGTCTCTCTCCTACCAGGATGTAGATGTTCAGAGCTTGGTTCTGACAGTTACTAATGATACCAGCAAGGCCTACGATGCTCTGGTGACTTTGAGGCTGAAGTCTCCTCAAAGTTCATCAGTCGGAGGGACGAATGTACGGCCACTGGCTCTGAAGTCAGCTGGGATTTACCACTCCTCTGCTGTGAGATTCTGGTTGCCTGTTAGGCAGCTGGAGCCCGGGATTCAATGCCAGCAGCTGGTTCTGGTTCTGGTCAGATTCTGTGTCTTTCACTCGTCCTGAGACGTCTGCAGAGAGGATGCTTCTCTCCTTTCTGAGGTCAAGTGCAGAAGCTGGGTTTCTTCTCTCTCCAGTTCTCTGTGCAGAAGCGTGATGGCTTCGGAGTTTATCTTTGGAGTTTCTTTAAAAGTGAAGAGTGTCTCTTAAAAAGTGTGTGTGTGTGTGTGCGCGTGCGTGCGTGCGTGCGTGCGTGTGTGTTTTTAAAGAAGTGAAACTTACTGTCTGTGTAGAACAGAGATGAAGGTCCACCTCAGGAGGGGTGGTCCTAACTTTTAGCTTGTTTCATATGTAAATCTAAAGTCCCTTTCTGCCTTAAAAGTTTTCCTTTTAAAAGAGAAAATAAGACAAGTGTATTATCTTAAAGAAAGATTACTCAAAACACACATTTTCATGAATAAACATTCAGGTATGACATATTTAGGATTAAACTTAAAACATACAATGTTTTACCAAAGGTGTTGCTGTCCATCTCCTGAAAATGAACGTCATTAAACATAGGGTTCTTATGGTGTTATCTTCATGGGAACCAGTCTGGGAGAAATACTCCTTTTTGATAAGGGAAGTTATCAACGTAACAAGTTCGGATGTTTCAAAACTCCGAGGTCAGTGGAACAAAAGCTCTCATTAAAATGATCTGTCCGTTTCATGGAATGGAAAGTTTTTTTTTATTACATTAAGTCAACTGAGGAGTTTGTGAGCTGAGACGGTGAATAAAATATGTCTGTTCATTCCCAAAAGAATAGAAGAATCTTATTTTTAACAGTTTCGAACACAAAAACACAGGAATGTTTGTTTCAGGTGAGGTGAACTGTTTTCTGAGGTGGTGTTCCCCTTCAATGCAGTCCAGAGTTTTATGAAAAAAGTGTAAAAAATCTAGATTGTTTTCTGAAACTTTTAAAGAATATTTTTTAATCTGAACAAATTGAACTGTTAAATGTTGACCCACAGAAACTGTTGCTTCCAGTTTCTGCAGTTTTCTGATGAGTTTGTTTGTTTGCGTCCAGTTCCCTCCTCTCACCTGGACGTCACAGAGAAAGAGACGTGAGTCCACGTTCGGCACGTTTTTAAACTAGTTTCTGACAGAATCCAGGTGGAAGTCCGCACGATTTCTTCTTCTGTGGTTTCTGTTTCAGAGGCGAGACGGCGCTCCATAAAGCTGCCGCCCTCTGTCAGAGGAGCATCTGTCACTTCCTGGTGGAGGCAGGGGCATCGCTCATGAAGACAGACCTGCAGGTAAACAAGAGCTCACCTGTGTCCCTCTGGCCTGTGTCCCTCTGGCCTGTGTCCCACTCATTTGTGTCCCTCTAACCTGTTCTGAGCGTCCAATCAGAAACCTCCAGTCCTGAACAATTGAATAAATTAATTTTACGATCCAGTTTAATTTTTTCCTAAATTCAAATAAAACCAATCCAACCCACATGTGGTCAGTAAATTATCTGACAATAAAAATGTTTAAAAGAAATAAAATTAAAAATAAAGTTGAGCTCATTTGTTCCTGGACAAACGTCTTCACGTTCATGAAGCTCAGGATGAATCCAAAAACTAAACGAGAAGTTTTTATATTTATATATTATAGTTTCTTTAGGGTTATTTAACAAGTCTAAAAGTTTTTCCCTTTTTGTTGTAGTTTTGTTTTCAGCCGTGAAATAAATAATTTTCGGTCCGAGAGCTCTGCTCTGACTCGAACAGAAAAGCAGCTGATTGTTTTTTACAGCTGGTGAAAGATTCGGTGACGGGAGCTCATCAGCTTCCTGCTGCTTGGAGCCGTTTGTGCTGCGTTTCCTGGCAGGACGGCGGCCACCAGTCCGATCCGTGCCACCGCACGTTAAACAAATCTCTAGCAGAATTCGACCCACTTCTATAAAGTGATTAATGTTGTGTGTCAGTGAGAAGCGAAGCGCCGCAGGATTCCCCGGCCTCACTCCTGCTCACACAAAGGCCCCAGCTCACCGTCGCCATGGTGAAGCTAGAGGAAACAGGAAGCAGCTCCAAATCGAAGGGTTTTCTTCTTCTACCCTCAAATAAAAGGAGTTCATGTGTTATTTAGTGTCCAGAGATGGTTCAGAGTCCAAATCCATCTCAGGGTGTTACAGCTACTGAAAGGTTTCCATCCGTCCAACCAAATTATGAGACATATACATGTTATTCATGTAAAAAAAAAAAAAAAACTTTAATCATGAGTGCAGTGAACAGAAATAATATTTCAAAAGATTATTGTCTTAAACACAAATGACTGAAATTGATTGATTGAACTGTTTTTTTCTTGTGGAGCAGCCAAATGTTTAACAACTTTTCAAGTGTTTAAAAGTTGTGAGATGTTAATATTTACAGACTACCTGATGTTTGCAAATGTTTACAGACTGTTGGATGTTTGTTAATGTTTACAG